TATTATGGTTAATGGATTTTCTTTTAAAGGACCAAACTTTACTCTGTTTACTTTGCAGAAGTCAGGAGCTTCTGATTCCATATGATGTGATAGAATGCAACAAGCTGGATTCCTAGGAGATAGAAAGGTGCATTCCAGACAAATAAGGATAACTCAGTTGAGATACCCTTTGTGAGAGAAAGAAGATGAAGACAGTTCCTCCCTAATAGTTGGAGTATATGGCAGATGCAAATAATAGAGTGTTTAGCCTGGCAAGAGTCTGTCTATAGGTGTGGACCAATAAAAAATTCAATTTGAAAGAATCACTACATGTCTTTCTTGGTTTGGGAGCCTAAGAAACTAGGAGAATAAAATCTGGTAACACTGAGGTTCTGAGATAACTGAAATGGACATAAATAACACAACATTTATAAGCTAAAAATGCAGGCTTTGTAGCTACAGATAGTATACTATTTCATACTTCAAAACACCGCAACAGTTATTAACATACAATTGTTATATTCTACATTACAACTGCAACATACATTCAGGCTTGTTCTTGGTTAAAATTCATTTCCTTGGCAACAACTTGCTCTGCCGTGCTTTTAGAAGGCTGTGCCCCAGTAAGTACCTCATATTTAGTACCTCATATTTACAAGGGTAACACTTTTTGTAAGACCTTCAATTTCTTAAAAATTACAGGTGGATGGATGAAATCTCTGAAACAGAATTTTTTTGGCTACAAGATTAAAGTTCAGTCTTCAGTGCTTCCCTCTTTTAACCAAGACACAATCAAACCATCTTTTGATTCAACTTACTACAGTCAACGTAATGCCAGAAAGTTTTTGAATTTTGTGAACATGCTACATTAAACATTAAATGTTTAACAATAAAATTGTTGTTTGAGATTAGCAGAAATGTTTTCAAACAGATCACCAGACTGCTGGAAATATATTCAGGCCCAAGGAACATATTATCATATGTGGTGGACATGCACAGCAGCAAAAATATATTGGATAAAAATAAAAAATGGCTTGAGGAGATAATTAAACAACCAATAGAATTAAAACTAGAACTATTTTTATTAGGGATAATTACAGGGAATTATGAGAAAAAAAATCAGTATTTAATATTAAACGTCATAACTGCTACTAGAATGATCTATGCACAAAATTGTAAAAATAAAATGTGGAAAATGTGATAAGAAAAGTGTTAGAATGCGTAGAGATGGATAGACTTACATAAGAAATAAAAGACAAAGGAGAATCTGAATATTATTAGATTATATGATATGAATCAGTGGTGAAATTCATTTTTTTACTACCAGTTCTGTGGGCGTGGCTTGGTGGGTGTGGCAGAAGGATACTGCAAAATTTCCAATCCCACTCCACTCCAGGGGAAGGATACTGCAAAAACTCCATTCCCACTGCACTCCAGGGGAAGGATATTGAAAAATCTCCATTCCCACTCCACTCTGGGGCCAGCCAGAGGTGGTATTTGCCGGTTCTCCAAACTACTCAAAATTTCTGCTACCAGTTCTCCAGAACCTGTCAGAACCTGCTGGATTTTATCCCTGGTATGAATGGTTAGAGGGTAAATGTAAAGATTAAGAAAGCATCAAGGGAATAAAGATTAAGGAGTTAGAAAACAGTTACAAAGCCATATAAATAGACATGATATAAAATGTAAGATGTATTGTATATAAATTAGTACACCAGTAAATGAATATGTATAAAAGAAGTATATGTATACATGTATGGATATAAAGGGGAAAATTGAGGTATACCGGATGCATACCGCTGCGGAAATGTTGCAAAGATGACAGTTATGTAACAAAACTGGGGGGGAACTGTTCAACAAAAATTATTTGGGAAAAAAATAAACATTAAATTTTTAACAATTAAATTGTTGTTAATTAATTACATTATTGTTTCTGTGAATACTATCATATCCACTCACAGCAATTATTCAGAGCATCTGTTTGTATCTTTCTGCTCAATGGCATGTGGGTAAATGAAGCTGTTTGACGAACACAGATCAATAGATGCTCTCGTGGTTTTTTCCCCCTCTTTTCCTTTTTTTTTAAGCTACTGTCTTTGACAAGCCATTCAGGTGATAAAACTGTTGTCAGAGCATCAAGCAGAAGCTCTCATCCCAGAGCATCAACCTGTTTTAGATTTATTCTAAACACGCATTGGCAGGAGAGGAACTTCAAATTTAGTCTACTACTTCATTTTCCTTTGGGGAAAACATCAAGCCTCAAAAATACAACATCCATCTTTTGCATGCAAGACAGCTATAGCATCTCCAGGTAGCACTAGAAAAAAATGTTCTCTGTCTCATCTGGGCAGGTGTTGGAATTAACCATTCTTCCCATTGCTTAACCTAGGAGGTGACATTATGAAGTTGATTTTCAGATCCTGACAATTTCAGGTACAATGGATAATGGCATGGGAAGCTGGGAGTTGAGGCTCAGCAACATAAGAAAGGCCACACCTTGTCCAACTTTGTGCTATGTCTTTCACAAATCGGAACTGGCTGGATCCACCCACTGAGTCAAGCTATAAACTGTTTCCCACTATCCCTTTCACCATTGTTGTTGTTGTTGTTGTTGTTGNAAAAAAAAAAAAAGTCAAATAAAAATAGATCAGCTACCAGAAGCTTATCTTTTTTGCTCCAAGGCTCCTAAACGCCACACCTAAATCCCATTTTTCTAATGTATTAAGCTGCACTGCCAAAGCTTAAAAAATAAGTAAAGGTCTAGTATAGTTATCATAGCGCAGCATGGAATTACACATATATTTTCCAGACAGAGTACGTGATCCTCACATAATAGGGACACATATAATCCCTCTCACAACACTCCCCACCCTCTCTCTCTCTCTCTCTCTGTCACACACACACACACACACACACACACGGAGGGAGGGAGGGAGGTAGGGAGGGAGGGAGAGATTTTTATTTATTTGCAATGCTTATAAGCCACTCCAGTTTAACTGGGTGTTGTACACATTCTGAAATCCATAACGTTAAATTAAAACACATAACACAAATAGGCAAGATAATATCACAAACATAATGAAAATGAAAAGTGAAAAAGCAGGAAGGGGCAATTTGAACATCTATACCTTAAGAAGAGTATCTAAAATGTTTCTTTGGCTCCTGGAGAGGACAATCCTTGCTTAAGGGAAGATGGATATACGGGGTCAGGAAGATTCATTTAACCAGGCTATATCTAGCAATTTTATTCCAGAAAGTATTGGACTTAATACACTTCTGAAAGTTTACATGATCTCAGAGTAGATCTTGTATTCTTATTAAAAAAATATATTCTAACACTGTTTCAAAATCATATAATAGGGTAGCCCAGGGGTGTCCAAACCTGGGAACTTTAAAACTTGTGGACTTCAACTTCAACTCCCATGCTGGCTGGGGAATTCTGGGAGTTGAAATCCACAAGTCTTAAAGTTCCCAAGTTCCCCTAGGCTAGACAATAACAATGTGAAGCCAAAGTCTCATCCATACTTGACTGTAGCTAACAAAATCTCAAAATTCAACTAATAGCTGTAGCTTCCTTAATGCTTCTGCTCATACTTGGACTACAAGAAATACCTTGGCTGGAAAATGTAACAATGGAAGAACACATCTGGAGGGCATTCCGTGTGTATAAGAGGTACAATAAAATGTGCCAAACACACTTTAACACCCAATGAAATTATTTGCAATATACTGTGTAGCTGTGTTCCCAAAAATATGGGTTGGAGCATCAATTGGAGCCCAGGATATGGTTATATTGAAGGATGTTTATTTCATCTTAACCAATTATACATTTGTGTATTCAATTTTTTTACTGCAACTATTGCCAACACAAATGAACCAAAAACACATAATGAATACAAAAAGCTGGATCAAATGTACTAGGCATGTTATCTTCTATTTCCCCAAATAAATTCATACTACCATTCAAATATCCCAAAATCTGAATCAAGACTGATAAATATTTTGTTATAAATCCCCTTAATAATAAAGAAACTGCAAGCAAAAGTGTTAATATTGTAACATCTATCATTTGACAAACCATTGAATATTGCATTGAACTCCAAGAGATTTCAATCTGGTTTTTTTTGGGGGGGGGGCAGTCTTTAGTATATTAATTACATTAACATTTAACTAGAAGGGCTGAAGACTATTAAATGTGCATGTCTCAATATTTTTCCCCTTTATTTATCTAATTTCTATAACATCCAATTCAACCAAGTGACTCTGGTTTTTGTGTAGGTATGAGGCCGTGATGGCAAACCTATGGCACACAGAGCCCTCTCTGCAGGCATGCGAGCCGTCGCCTCAGCTCAGCTCCACTGCACATGTACACACACCTCCCACCGATACACATCCAGAGAGGGTGGGTTGCATGCGGGAGATGCACGTGCATGCACGGGAGGAGACGGGATCATACATGCATGTACTGGTGCGGGGGGGTGCAGGTGGGTGCGTCATGCCCCCTGCGACCTGTTTTTGGTCCCAGGAGGTTGCAGGGAGGCCTGTTAGGCCCAAGACGGGGCATGGGAGGGTCGTGTACACATGCACAGGGGGAGAGGAGTGCAGGGGGAGGGTGTGCACAGGGGGGGCGGGGTCATGGGGGGGTCACACACACATGCACAGGGGGTGCATGGGGGTCATGTACACATTGCATTATGGGTGCCAGCACACAACAACAAAAAAGTTAGCTATCACTCGTATAGATAATATGATTAACTGGGGCAAGGAATGCAAATGCCATGGTGGTGATTCAGATCACATAGTTAAACTACCCCCTTGACTTCCTTTGTCCCCACCACCATATCCATAGATTAAGTGCTAATAAAATCAGAACAACCCCAACTTTAATTCTCTTTAAAATGTCAGAGTATGTCTTCAGATGATTTGGCACAAAAGACCAATTTGAATTATCTCCATAAGATTTTCATCACGGTATGAAACTGCAGAAGAAGCATCTCATCCAACTCTTTAACTCTTCTTACCTTGTGATAACATCGGAAGTATGCAGCACGCTCATCTGAAAATTTCTCCATTCTTCTGGGCCCTTTGCTGGATGCTTTCTTGAAGACTAGCCAACATCTCTGATAAATCTATGAAAAACATACACAAACATACTTCCCCATGACTTGTATGACAATGGTTTAATGAAAAATATATACTCATAAATATCTATACCCACTATCCATCTAGATACGTTTAAATCCTTCATCCAGAATTTAAAATTAGGTCTATGAGACTTGAAGTTCAATTATTTTGAGACCCATCTCAGTAATTAAACATCACAAACAACATCTTAATTTTGGGTTAAGAGATTATATTGTTATAGACCAGTAAATAATTCAAAATCACTGTACAATTATGAAAATTTTTAGATGTCCTGCATTCCTTTTTTCCTCTTACATTCACTCATTAATTCATAATCATACTAGATATGGAAGCCCTATTTCTGAATGACTAAATTAAACATGGAGAAGGGAAAAATAAGACCCTGTCTTATTTTTGGGAAAACAAGGTATATTGCCAAGGGAGTGTCAGAATAGACATTGATCAACAGCTGGAAGAGGGAATGGAAGCCCCACCTCAATTCATGATGATGATGGTGGTGGTGGTGGTGGTGGTGGTGGTGGTGGTGGTGGTGGTGGTGGTGGTGGTGGTGGTGGTGG